TATATGTGTGTGTGTGTGTGTGTATATATATATATATGTGTGTGTATGTATGTGTGTATATGTGTATAATTATATATGAAAATGTGTGTGTTAATATATGTGTATATATATGTTTTTCTCTGCAGGATTTTGACATTGACGTGGCTGTGATCAATGACACTGTCGGCACCATGATGACCTGCGGCTACGATGACCATCACTGTGAGATCGGCCTCATCGTCGGTTAGTCACACTCTTACATTTGCACTCATATGCAAGCTGAGATCAGCCAGCGTGTCAGTGATGCTGTCAGGTGGGCTTACTGTGAATGAAAGGTGCTTTATTCAAACATAGACCTTTTGTCATTTGTTTTGGTTATTGGTTGTGGGAATATTAGAGAACACATTTCAGGCATTTTATAGCCTGTTCAGGCCTAAATGATTTTGGTGGCATCTTCACAATACTAATTCTCACACTCCACTAAATTAACTAATTGTTTTGATTCCTGTTCCTCAATAGTGTGTAATTATAGAGGCCAGAGCAGTCTTTCTCACAACTTTATATGCTGTGCGCAGCCTCCGTTATTACACTCTCTAATTTCTAAATAATTTTAACACTCTCTCACATTAGATAACAAATACAGAGCTAAATTTATAGCTGTAAGTGGAAATATAGCCAATGAGTATTTCAGAGGGAAAACAGCTGGAATGAAGTTTTTTTCTTTTGAAAAGAAATGTCAAATTATGGCTATTAAAAAAAACAAAATTCTTCTGAGCAGCTGAGTCCTTAGCCATCTTCAAGAATCAGTTAAAAACGCATCTCTTCCATCTTTATTTGACCCACTAACTCTAGCAATCTCTATTCTAATTCTATTCTTTAAAAAAAAAAAAAAAACTTTCCCCTTTTAGACTTGCACTCTATTCGTTTACTAACTGCTTGTTTTCTTTAAAAAAACAAAAAACTAACACTAGCTTCTCTATTTTTTAAATTCTATATATTTTTGTTTTTATTTATTATACAATTAACAAAAGCAAAAAAAGGCCTCTAACACTACCTTGCTCTGTTCTTTATCTATTTCTAAGAAGAAATTTCACAGGAATAAATTACATTAAATGTAATACATTTTTATAAACTTTTATAAGAAAATAATTTTTTTTTTTACAATGTTTTAAATAAGTTTTATTACCGAAATTAAGTGTATAATGTGTAAATAAAATGTTTATTAAATTGATATTTAGGAAATGATAGGAACCGAACAAGAAGTCTGTACTTAATCATGATTACTGTCGTGCAAATGGAGAAAATCCTGGTTTAATTTGGCTTCTAAGACAGTGTTGAGAGACTACAGGAGGCTTTACTGGTAGCTGGGCTAATAAAACAAGCTTACCCTGTCATTTCCCACTGAGCCAGACCACTGTTGAGTCTACAATTGAAATATAATTGAACACCGTGAAGGTGTAATGAAGTAAATTCCCCTGCCTGCACCTTTGAACACAATATTGTAGGATTAGAAGGAATCTGTTGCTTTTCAAAGCGCTTTAAAACCAACAGGCTGTAGTTTCAAAGAGGAGTTGCATTGCAGAACGTTTGCGTTACTTATTTGCATTGCTGTAGAATATTAACAGAAAAAAATGCATTGTAGACAAAGCAATTAAAATATCCCACACCTTTGAGACACGAGTCGTTTGCATCATTGTCATCTGGTATTATATTGTTAAATAAGGTTTGTGTTTTAGACTCCCACACAGATAAAGAGATAATGCTTCACATTCACAGATCATGAACTGGCTGCGCTGCTGAAGTCTTTGTAAGAGTAAAAGAGAAAAAGGCATGATGCACCAGCAGGCTTAGCTTCAGAACAGACCCACCCAACATGCATCATGCCTTTGGCATTGCAGGACAGATTTAGCATGTTGACAGGCTTCATGCATATAATAATTCATGCATAATAAAACTGAACACTCTCCTTTCATTTGTTGCTCATGTGCATTGGCTGTGAACTTTCTTAATAATAATTCATCACCAAAGATTCAGCATTGCACTGTAGAGATATCGAAGCCCATGCATACGTATTTAATATGGTTGCACAAACTTATATATCAGATTTCTTAATGCTACATCAAAACAGAAAATGAATTCGGACAAATCTCAGGAAAGGAGGAGGCATTGATTCCCACAGTCGTGGAGATTTTTAATATTTTAAATTTCCAGGACTCTCGAAAGTCATAAAATTGTAATACCGTGTTGAGAAGTTATGGAAGAGCATATAGTTAATGTAAATTTCTGGTTATGAGTCTCAGAAAGCTCAATCCTGCATTGAGCCACATTCAAATCTCAGGTCTTTTTTTCTCTTTGTGGAGGCTTTTATACACAAGTATGAATCTCCTATATATACGAATGGGAAATAATCTTCAGCAATCCCTTTGAAAAATACTTGTGCATTAATCATGAACTACTGGAAAATGGAGGTGTCATGGAAATTCATTGGTCAAAAAGAGTGGGAACCCTTTCTGATGTCTGAAGTGTATGGGTAATTTCTCTTTAAGAAGTGTTAAGCACAGAACTTGAAAACCACTGGTTTAAAACATGGCTTGAAAATAATAACTAAATAAATGCGGCAAAGGGTTATTTATACACTAGTGAAAAAATACATATACTAAAATGTATTTGAAATACATTTATTGCATGCTAAATCTACTACTAATACATTTACATATTTATGTACTTGAAAAAAATGCATGGGAATTGTACTTATAGTGTACTAAACTGGTATACTTAAAGTTTTGTGCTTAATGTGAGGAAGCAGTGCTGAAGTCTGACTAAAGATATACAGTAGTGTATTGATTGTGCTAAAGTGTACACTTTAAATATCTTGCATTTAAAGAACGATATTATTCAAAAATCATACAGTCCTCATCAATAGTGACATTAAAACACACTTTAGGCTTAATGTTAAGAAACGTGCATTGTGCACTAGTACTCCAAATATAATTTTTTATGTCAGTGAGTCTCCAGCGATATGTTAGTATGAAATAATGTATTTTTAATATGTGTGACCCTGGAGCACAAAACCAGTCATAAGGGTAAATTTTCTTAAATTGAGGTTAATAAATCATCTGAAAGCTGAATAAATCATCTTTCCAATGATGTATGGTTTGTTAGTTTTAAAGCTGCAGCTCCTGACCCTAGTCATTGTGACTCCACAGGCGCTTTCATTTAAGAAGCAGCACTTCGAAAGCTCAATCAAATCCCATCATGCTTTAAGTGCTAGTTGCCGAGCTCTTTAAATGCCCTCAGCGGTGGAGTTATGCAATTGATTGCCTTATTGGATTTGCACAACATGCACATACCAATAATTCAGTTGCTCAGAACCCTCCTGCTTTTCTCTCCAGAGATCCCGGTTTCTGAAGATCAGTGGGGATACACTGTTTCTTTACAGCTACAAATATACCCCAGTGACTTAAGACTGCTTTTGTGCTCCAGGGTCACAAATTACTTTTGGTAACTTTATTTTAAGGTGTCCTTGTTACACATGTGCTTACTATTATAACAAAAAAATATGCATTATTACATGCAAGTAACCCTAATCCTAACCATATAGTAAGTACATCTATGCCCCGCCTTTCTGAAACGTGTCGATTTTTACAAAGTGTATGTATTCATTTATTTATACAAACCTAAAACCTCACCATAAAAATCTATAATTTTGACCCATACAATGTATTGTTGGCTATTGCTACAAATATACCCCAGCGACTTAACACTGCTTTTGTGCTCCAGGGCCACATATGTTCCTGCTGTAGTAGTAGCTACAAAGAGTCATTACATCAACATAGGATGCCATCATTAACTGTGCATTGCCTGATCAGAACTCACAGGTCTCAAGGGTTTTAAAGCTGCAGCTCCTGACCCTAGTCATTGTGACTCCACAGGCGCTTTCATTTAAGAAGCAGCACTTCGAAAGCTCAATCAAATCCCATCATGCTTTAAGTGCTAGTTGCCGAGCTCTTTAAATGCCCTCAGCGGTGGAGTTATGCAATTGATTGCCTTATTGGATTTGCACAACATGCACATACCAATAATTCAGTTGCTCAGAACCCTCCTGCTTTTCTCTCCAGAGATCCCGGTTTCTGAAGATCAGTGGGGATACACTGTTTCTTTACAGCTGCAAGTCAATGTTATTGTTCTCTCGCATAATCTGCTCCCTGAGGTGATGAATGCTTAGACTGTGACCAGATCGAGTTCTGCAAACGTTTTTCTCTTCCCATAAATAAGAACTCTTAACAGCAATGTGGAAAGTTACAGTAAAGCACAATATGAACTCGTCAATTACTTACCGTACTTTTTTCAGTTTATTTATAGTAGTATATGTGAGCCTGGAGCACAAAAGCAGTCTTAAGTCGCTGGGGTATATTTGTAGCAATAGCCAACAATACATTGTATGGGTCAAAATTATAGATTTTTATGGTGAGGTTTTAGGTTTGTATAAATAAATGAATACATACACTTTGTAAAAATCGACACGTTTCAGAAAGGCGGGGCATAGAGGAGAAACAATAATGTACAGTATGTGGAAAATAATGTGTTTTTTTAACCTTAAACCGCATAAACACATTTCATTACACCAAATACACAAAATAATGTTCTTTTTAGCAGCATCATATGACCCCTTTAAAGGAGCCCGGTTGAAAATAATCATTTTTCCACTTTTTTTTGTGCAAACAAACTTTATTAACATTATAAGTAAGCCTAAATAATAAAAAAATCCATATCATGACACCTTTAAAGATTTATATCCAATTTTTATTTATATTTTTGTCACTTGCCGAGATTAAATCTTACTGCGAGTGACTCCTGTCTCTTCTATATTAATAACTTTCAAGGACTCGTCTCCAGATAATAATCATAATTTCCTCTTTTCACAAATATTTCCTACACCCCTGATTACAGAGACGTCCCCCTGAAGTGAATAAAGATGATTGGGGATCTCTCCGGTTTATGGGTTGCAGCATGCATCGTAACATGCATATTTATCGTGCTCATCTCTGTGCTGCATGCTTTGTTTGTGTGCAGGTTTGAGAAGATGATCAGTGGGATGTATATGGGTGAGCTGGTCAGACTGATCCTGGTGAAGATGGCTAAAGACGGCCTGCTCTTCCAGGGACACACCACTCCAGATCTGTTCACCACTGGCCACTTCCAGACCTCCTTCGTCTCTGCCATCGAGAATAAAAAGTCAGTACCTTTTTGTGCTTGTGTGTTTCTTGCTATACTAAAAAAGTGCGGCAGAAGTAAGCTAAAACTGATAAAGTTAATAAATAAAATGGCTAAATCCTGTTTTTAAAGGGAGAGTTCACTCTAAAATGAAAATTTTTGGATTTGGAGGAATGTAGCATTACATCACTTGCTCTGCAGTGAATGGGTGCCATCAGAATGAGAGTCCAAACAGCTGATAAAAACATCACAATAATCCACAGCACTCCAGTCCATCAGTTAACATCTGGAGAAGACAAAAGCTGAAACAAATCCAGCATTAAGACGCTTTTAACACGATTGCTTCCAGATGAGTCCATAATATTGCTTTCTCAAGTAAAGAAGTCATCTT